TAGACACGCCCGGGAAGATTCGTCGAGGATGCAGAGGCGTTTTAAAGAGACTTTTTGGCGAGGTGTGGTTAGTGGCTCGTCGAGAATTGATGTTTTGGACGATTGGATTCCATTTTGAAATCTGACGATTTCGAAAGAGTTTTCGTTATAACTTTTGAACGAATAAGTTTAATTTATAAAATTTTGAGTTAAATCTGAGTTAATAATAAAGATTGGCGAGAGATTTCAATAATACTAAAAGAATTTAATGAAATAAATTTGGAATACTTGCATGAAAAAGTATTTTAAAAAGTTTGCGAACAGAGAAAGTTTCTCGAATGAATTATAGATAGATTTGATTTAAGATTTTGGTAAGAAGACAACTTCTTGATTTTTGCTGCTAGAGGGATACGTGTGGCAAACTTTCTCGCAAGTGGTCTTCGATTAGCTTAAATATATATGTACGTAATTAATTTAGAATTCAACGGTAAATATTTATCATTTATTATCGAATTGCCATCGCACTATTAAATAGCGATCGTATTAACGTATTCTTTGTACGACAAAGATTAGGTTATACTCCAATTTCAATACAATACAACTGGTAGATATTAAATATCGTGTTGGCCAATCGTATGAATAACAACTATATTACCATTGTTTAAGAAAGAATGTTTAAGATTGATCTCACAATGTTATTCAATATTGTCTACGTTGAGAGTAAAGATTATCGAAATGAAGAAAAAAAAAGTTAAAAAGCCTTTAAACATAATAATTTATGCAATTAATTAAAGTTAGTTTAAAGTAAGTTAAAATTACTTCAGTTAAGCTTTTGAATTTAACCGATGAGTTAGATTTCAGCAAAATTTTCATTTTTAAAAAAAGAAGTTTAGGAAAAATGTCAGCTTGAAAAAAATTAACGTGTAAATGAAATAATTCAACAAAATATCCTTTTTTCGGTGTCTTTTTTATTGTCTTATTGATTGAACTTTGCTACGGATTTATCTGATAGACAAGGCAAATTATCTGATTTGAAATGATATCGACAAAGAAAATCATTTCTTATTATATCATTTTTATCGCGTAACGTTTAATTTAATTCGAGTTTCTATGGTCTTTAATTATGTATAATATGCTTATGTATAATATGTATCGTCTATTTATTCCTGATTACATATGTAAATGATAAAAAGACGATAAGTGAATAATTCATATTTCTTAATGTGGGAATTGAATATATAATAAGTATGTAGAATACCGATTTCGCGGAAATAGTATGTTTACAAGTTTGACAGAGAAGATGGATTATGTGATATCTTGATATTTTAATTTTATTTTAATCGTTGATTCAAGTTTGACGAACGAAGAATTTAGTTGTTTTATACGTCAATTCTATATATAATAAAATGTTTTAAAATGCGTTTTGTTGATTTTTATTTCAATGAAAAATTTTTAAAATTGCTTAAATTTTGAAAGATTTTAAAGTTTGAAAATTTGAGAACTGAAATTTCGCTATAAACATTTACAATTCTCATTATTGTAATCATTTTAATTTCATTTCTCTTTATTAATTTGTTTTAATTATCAATGGAAAGCACATTTCACGTATCTCTATTGTTTACTCCATTAATTACTCCGATATCAACATATATTTACAAATATGGTGTAATTTTATTAAATTAAACATATTCCCTTCGGTAGAGAGAAACGTTAATATACTAATATTTTTGCTTCGATCAATCAATTTTATTTATTTCAAGATTATTGTTCATTTTAACGGTTAAAATTAAAAAATGAACGGAAGATTATAACACAAATTTGATATAATACGAGAAAAAGAAAAAGGAAATTTAGATACTGGAAACGAATAATTATTGCGTCATTCATGCATTAAGATTTTAAATTCATTTTAAATTCATTGAAATCTGGAAAATTTTCACTAATGAGGCGTAGATGAAAACCAGTAATGTTAATCGTCTCTTATGAAACAAATTCCACTATAAAAAAGAAAAATAAGCAGTACGCGACTTAGCATTTTTATTCAACGCCTTTTCGTTTATTAATGAACTTTATGCTTTCGCGTCATTTTTATGTTTATTGGATTAATCAATTATTATAATGCGACGAGTATTATAACAAACCTCTTTTATCTTATTTATTTCTATTATTTCTATCTGTCTGCAGCACAATCTACAAGACAACGTATCTTTCGAATATTACGAAGAAAGTATCATGAGAATTACGACTAAAAAAGATTACACTTTGCAAATACATTTTTCTTTTATGTAAAATAATTCAGGACGGAATATCTTAGTTTTATATAAAACAATAAAAATATCATTTCTTTCTTCGTTGCTTACTTTTTTAAATATAAAACTATATAAAAACTTATTTGCAAGAGTGTAGTATATACTTAATAATTTCAAAGTGTCTCGAGATAAAAAAAAATTACGTATAAAATATCTTAAGACAAGATTCTTTTCATTTTTTACAATCCTTTGCTGTTCTGTGAGTTAAAAATTTTACTATTTTCTTCGTCCCTTTTCATTCGTTCGTTACTTACAAATTTCTTTATTTATTCACGCGAAAAATATCCCCAAAACTTTTCCCAATTCCTTTTTTTAGAATTAATTAATTTTCAAGATATAAAACTTTCGAATTCTAAAATTTCGCTTTCGGGAATAGAGGAAGCGCTGTCGCTGTTAACAGGTGAAATTTCTATCTGAATTAAAACAGAGAATTACTTTTCTTTGCATTAAAAAAAATTCTAAAAAAAGGAACGGACAAAAACGAGTCGACTCTTTTAAATGGAAAGGAAGGTTAAGAGTCGTATTAATATAACCGAAGGTAAAAATTTCGTTCTTTTCAGTGGCGGTCGGTTGTCAGATGGTCGTAAACACGCCAACTAAATGTGCGGCCGGCCCGATTGCTTTTCTATATTGCAACAACCGATAATGGGCTCGTTACGTGCATTTGTCGACGAACAAACGGCTTATTCAACGAGCATTCTTACGAAGCTCTATATTTACACGTGGACACGTGTGCCGATAACTTGAAATTCATGACTCTCATTTAGGGGTTTCCCCTATACAACTGAAAAATCTTTATTGCAATTCGTATGGATTCCATTTCCACGTTTTTCAAATATCATTTCCTCTTTCGTCCCTGTGGCTATCGATATATTTGCAATATATTTGCATTTACAAGCAGACATTCAAAGATCTAGATTGGAAAATAAAAATTTTAAAAACATTCTCGTTAAAGTTGTGTACGCAGATGCACAAGATAAGGCAAACAGGACAATTTTTCCTATTCCTTCTCCGATTGTGTTTAAAAAGAAATGTTTGGGGAAAATAATATATGTAGTACGGTTTTTGAAATTTATCTTTTTATTATATTAAATATTAAAAGTGTCGAACGATATTAATATGATTAAAAATGTTAGATAGCATTGGAATATTAAGAATATTTATATTTATTCCAATTACTTGTGATACAAGTATTCGAGGAAAAGTTAAAAATAACGAGGATTCAAGAAATATGCATATTTTGAAGATTATTCCAACGATGCATAATGTATATATTTCGCTCGCGAGAAAAATACGATCCTCTGAAAAGTTGAACCACACGTTGAACTCTTTTCTTTACCATTTTTTAACTAACTGCATCCACGAGAAGATTATTTATTCTACGCTTTTATTTATTTTATTTATTTCATCCAGTTTCAAATTGTACTTATTAATTTCAAAGTATCAATATGGGACAAGTTTCGAACGAATAAATTCTCGTGGAGAAAAAAAAAAAAAAAGGTTAATTATCTGGGCTCAAGAACTGACGTCCTTTAATACAAAAATTATCCTTCTTAATTACCGTGAATTAACGAAGCCTCTAATTTACGGATGGGGAACAGCAAAGATTGAGTTTTCAGTTTTCCGACTCTATTTCGAAATGTTACCTCATCTTTTTAACACTTAATTGGAGTTGGATCGTAATTGGAACATCCTCACGATTAATTCTTTCGACTTACCATCACCTTGGAAATATAACGAAACACGTTGTTTCATAGGTGTGGCAAAAAAGAAAAGGTTAAACTGTTTCGATGACGCGTCATAGGAAGATGCAATTATAATTCACGGATGGATTTGTGTGCGTTTAATTCTATGTTGCATTAGACGAGCATGATACGTAAGTGGATGTAAGCGTGGGTGTCCTGTGTTTAAGTGTAATTACACTTCACTCCTGCTTTTTCTTCCTTTCTGCAAATAGATCTTCGGATCTTATAAAAATTTCCTTTAAAATAAGCGAAACGAGTGATTGTTGATTTCTTTTCTCTTTTTGTTTCTTTGTGTTAAAAATTTGCAAGGATTAATACTCGAAAGTTTCGTAATATCGAAAATCCAATCCGTACATTCGTGAAAGTTAATTAAGATGATTTTTCTTGTTATTCCAAGTTGGGGATCAAGTTGTTCAGATTGTACAAGAGACTTCTAGGCTTTCCACGAAACGTGTCACAAATCTCGCGCGAAATATGAAGAACATGTGACACACGCTGCGCAATTAAATTTCCGGTAGGGTAAGATTCAACTGTAAATTGAACGGCTCTGGACAAAAACGACAAGCGTACTTTCTTGAATTTCTTGAAATTCTATGCAAAATTTCGTCAAAATTTTAAAAAAATCTGATTCGCTACGATAAAACAAATAAAAAAATCGTATCGAAAGATATAAAATTGTTCCATCTTTCTATATTTTCAATTGTTTCAAAGTTTTCAATTGCCTTAACAATTAACAACGAAACGACGTATCATTCCTAACCAGCCACGTTCCCCATCGATCGATATTTATTTTAGCGGGAAATTCAAATTCTATTCCACGCATTCTCGGACACGAAGGCACCTTCATATTTTCCAAATCGAAATAAAATTATTCGACAAAGACAATGATTGAACAAAAAATTATAATTGGTGTGTAATTCGATTTTGAGAAAAAAAAAGGAAAAAGAAAAAAATAGAAACCACTCACCTGTGTCGGCCACGAAATCGGTGATGAGCAATGTCTCGTCGTCTAGAGCAGTGACGAGGCTGTCCGTGCAAGTGTTCGTGTTCTCGATGCTGATCTTGATGCTGTCATCTTTGTTAAGCCGTGGATGATTGTTCGCGGCGGGGTTATTACCGGCGTGGCAGTTATTGTTGTTGTTATGGTTGTTGTTGTTGTTGTTGTTGTTGTTGCCGCCCTGTTGCTGGCCGAGGTGGTGATGGGGTGAACGAACGGATTCTGTGCTGCTGGTGTGCAAACTGACCCCCGTAGTCGCTCTTCCGTTCACCAGTCGTAGACTCGGTGCCCGCCGACCTCCACCTCCTCCTCCACCCCCACCAGGGCTGACCACGGAACGGCCGCCACCGCCGCCACCCTCGCCCTCCCTGAAAAACATATTCCATTCCTCGGTTCAACAATTCCGCATTCTTTGCCGAGTTAAGCGATTTTTGGAATAAACAGATCGATCGTTTCGATTGAAATCGGGCGGTTGAGAATGTTGTAAATTTGAATGTTTTTGGTCTATGGATTTGGCGAGAGAGAAGATGATTCTTATTTATATCAGTATAGGAAAGGGAGAATCCAATCGGTAGATAATTTCACGTTATTTTAAATTAGCAGGTTAATAAGTGAATTTAATATTCGTTAAATTGGAGATAAAGTAAAGTCTTTTCTTAAATATTAATTTCCACGTGATTTATGATTCTGCCCTATTTAACACACGCACACGTCACGAATATATTCGATTTAATAAAAGAAGAAGAAATCGGATATATACTGATTTGTAAATCGAACGCAGAACAGTTTGTATTAAATAAATTGTTTATTTAATTTCGAAAGAAATATGGTGTTATTAAATTTGGAATGAATAAATTACGAACCTTGTGCGTTGAATATTATAAAATTGATGAAGAATATACAGGTGCAGTTTAGTATAGTTCGACACAGAACGAAGCGAATTGCACGAGAAGGACTGGCCTTCTGCGGTTACCGTATGGGATAGGTGTGGTTTCGATATTTGTACGTCTGCTTTCATAATTTCGGATTGGTTCTCGAATATATATCGGCGATATTTCGTGCGCCAGGCATGTCCGGGAGGCAGGATAAATCGAGGGTTGGGACATTTCCTTTTCACCATTCGGAAGTATTTACGGAATTTGGCGATATCCTTTTTTCTTTTAAATATCTTGAAACTTTTTAATCTCCTTAATAAAAATGAACGATTTATGAACAGTTAAAGGTTGATTTAATATATTTGTTTCGCATTATCGCGAATGAAAAATAGCAACAAGTGAAATCGAAAAGAAGAAAGCGCTCGATCAAATTTCAACAAAACGAATAAATACTTGTTTAATCGTATCTTCTCAAAGATATCCTATTTCTTATAATAACAGAAGTCGAACTTCAACTCTCTTTAGAAACGCAATAATAGAAAGAAATTTCACGATTCTTTCTCGAAACGAGCGACGAAGATTGGTCGAGGAAGAAGCAACACCGGTATCTTAATCGTGATCGGTGTACACGTGTCCGGTTTTCACTTGAAACGATGGTATATACCCTTGGAACACGTCTGAAACGGCTCTCGTTTGCAAAACCGTCCTCGAACCACCGTTCCACTTTTTAATCTTTTCATCTTTGAGAGTCGTCCTTGCGATTCTGGACTCGCTCGCTTATCGTCGCGTACAATCGATTTCGACAAATTGCTCGCCGATTTGCTCTTTCTCCTCGATTTTAATCCTCCTCGAACGAATTTTTTTCATTGTAATTGGCGCGTAATTAATATTAATCCAGGAAATAATCTCGCGATGCTGTGTCTTCGAATGTCTATTTAACTTTTAATCTATGCAATATGTAATTAATATGTCGAACAAAAGATATATATATATATATATGTAAGAGTTTTATTTAAAATTTTCCAGATGCAGTGAAGGAAATCGAATATATATATTCTTGGAGAAAAGAAGATTTAATCACGTTCGAGGAATATGAAAAATAATTTTGAAATAAAATGACGACGATGATGAAATATCGATAAAATTTATGAAAGATTTTACAAGGAAGAATGAGTTGATGCTATTATAGAATATGGAAAATATGGAAAAATTAATATCGGTTATATTGCATACTAAATTCCGAACAACTCTAAGTAAAATAAATTTAACGCCGCCATATTGAATCGTAAACAAGTTGGAATTAACAAAAAGAGAGAGTTTTTATCAAACGAAAAGAGAGGTTGAAAAGAAACGATTATCCTGACTTTTTCAAAGTCGTTCGAAGCATGCTGGACACGGTTGTCCAGAGATAATCGACGTAGGGCAAGAAAAGGATCCAACCAGATAAAAGTAGATCAGAAGAAGAAGCAACGATAAAAGACACGGGCATAACGATCTTAGATCGCTGCTATCGACAGCTCGTTTTGCAGAGAACGATTTCTTCTACGGTTACCTTGCACTCTGATTGCAATAACAGATAAGTATCTGCCACCAACGATGTCCTAACATCTTTCCATCTTTCTTCTGTTTCCAATTTTCCCTTCCTTATCACGCGACGAATAAATGCAATTCAAATTTGTTTAGAAATTAGATATTGTACGAATCTATTGAAGAATTGCAATTTTTTTTTATCCAATGCTCCGAGAAAAATTATCGATCGAACGAAACTTTTCTGGTTTTTCAACAATTTAAATTTTGATAAATTTCGAAACACTTGGATAAAGTCTGAAACGGTTGCTTTCTCAACGTATACGGAGTTAAAAAAAATAAGCTTCGATTTTTACAATTACGATTGAATTTTTAATTTATTTCTCTTCGAGTTTTATTTTTTCAACAATTGTAAAGTTTTAAAAATTATATATACAAATATTTATACAAATAAATATTACAGTATCGAATAAGTATCTTAGCTCGAAGAAGTTTTAATATTTCAACGTGTACGGATAATTTATATCGATATTTTTTTAAATTATGAATATGCCTATAAAAATTTTCTCGCACAATTTATCTTAACACGGAAACAATCTAATATCCTTCTGCACGTATCCAAATCTTCCAATCACGTCGAGCCCACAATTATTCCAAATGGATCACCGCGCGATAATCATGGATCGACAACGATCGAAACTCTTATTATTATTAATAAGCGATAATTTACACGATCGAAGATTCCTTTTCGAATAAGTAACGTTATTGTTATTACCATCGTGCCACAACAAATTGCCCATTTACCGGTATATTGTTTAAACGGTTTAATAAAGCGGTCTCTGTACATAGAGCGAGCAGCGAATAATCGTGGTTAATCTTCGAAGAGTACACACGATAATGCCGTTCAATTCTCTGAGGTCAGTTTCAAGTACGCCAATGAATATTTATTAGCACTAAATCAAGGGACTCAGGGTTCGAGCTCTGGAGAATACAAATCTCCACCACGCGTTCACCTCTTGCAAATACGGCCATCAGTGTCTTACCAGTGGACGCGCACGAGAGCGTAGCGAAGAAGGACGGGTCGAAATTATTATACCACGAAATATATTCGTGCGTCTTTCGTGCGTCGATGACTCGAAATATTTTTCAACGCTTCGGAGTTCAATCGAGTGGAGCTCGACATCGTTCGACGTACAATGTATGTTTGTAAATAAAGAATTTATCTTTATGGAAATACAGAACTTGGATTTATACTGTAATTTGACTAATCAATTTGAACAAATTCATTTCGTATGAATATTAGATCGCTTTGCGTGTAACAATTTTATATAATCAAATTTGAAAATTAGGTTTTCAAATGAAAAGAAAAATTTCACTTTTATCGATAAATTTGAATTTTAATAAATTACGAATTTATTTCTAGCCAAATATATATATATATACACATACTTTGGAAATATTGCTTTACTATTAAGCTATTTATTTTAAATCGTTAAAAATATCGTTGAGAATGCTTATGAGCGGTAGTTTATACGCTTGCACAATCCTCCTCGAGCGTGTTCAGCCAATTTATCGGGAATTTTTACGATGTGGTCGAAAGAAAGAAACCTTGACTGGTATCGGTTCAAACCTTGGTATTAGAGAGAG